GGGGGGGGGGGGGGGGGGGGGGGGGGGGGGGGGGGGGCGTACTGTTATGCTTTGCATGCCTTAGCGGTTAGACCATTGACCACGCGTCCTCGAGAGGACGGAGCATCGTTCCCACAGGACCTATCGCCGATGGCCAATCGTTCGCCGGCGGGGGGGGGCGGGGGTATGGTGAAGTAATGTGAATGGTGAAATAATGTTTTGTGACCTGCCTGGAGTTGAAGGTTGACGAACGTATAGCAGTATATACATGGGGAGTATATTTTGGCATATGGGCAAGGCGTTCATGTGATCTGTACTACGAAGGCGTACATCGAGTTTCCCGATACTGCTGCTGCTGTGTTCGCTGAAATGATTGCTCTTGACCTCAGCTCGCTCTCTCCATCGTACCCGCTCTGCATGTTTTCTGTGTTGCGAAGGCATGCATAGATTTTCACGATATGTATCGCTGCTGCTGTGTGTTCGCACACTAAGGAATAGCTCTTCGCCCCAGCTCGCTACCTCCACCATACCCGCACTACTTCCACGGAAAGAGGCAAAAACGACAAATTAAAGTGAGGTCTTTTCATTTGTCAGCCGGTTAGCGCGGTCGATGCTGACATACACACCTGAGCGACGGCGGGGTTGAGCTTGTCCATGAGGTCGAAGATTGCGTCCAGCAATCCCGGCACGTGATCGAGCACCAGCTCCTCCTCCCCTGTACCGTAGGTCTCTAGAGTCAGCGTGTTCACAGCCTCGCACACCTCCGTTGCAGAGCCGGAGCCAAGCGCTCTAGCCAGCTTCACCACAAACGCACAGGGGGGGAGGGGGTACTCATAGCCGTGCATGCCGTAGTGGTTACGACGCTCTTGTTGCGAACATGTGCGTGTGCGTAAGCAGGAAGCGGCAACATCGCTCAGCTATAACGGCGTTTAGTGCGGCGAAAAAAAAAAAAAAAAGATTTCAATTCAACCAAGCTCCCAGACACAACACGAGTCACAACCAGCGGGAAATGTGGAGGAATACAAAGTTAGATGTAACGGATCCTTTCAAAATCCAAGGGTTTTCTTGCCCTGTCGACTTCTGCGGAGGGGAAGATGGAGGGGGGGACCAAGCGTGTGTACCTCCCGAGGCAACTTACTGACGCAGCCTGTTGTCTCACTGAACAAAAAAAAAAAAAATATCCTGGACGAAACAAAAGGAAATAGTGGGCATCGTGGAGGATGATGATACAAGGAATCTACGATCTACGCAGATCCCCGGGCTTGTGGAAAACGTGCTGAAATGACGACGCGCCATCGGATACCTTAACTCCGCACGGTTGGGGGTATAAATGTCCATGAGCCAAGGTCTGCACTCTTGTGGGAGTCAAACGTAAAGTTAAAGTATGTACCAAGACTCACGTCTGCCCGCGGGATCGATGCAGAAACCCCGACACCGTCGCCGTGCGAGGGGCCCCGCGATCGGAAACTGTCATGTGAGGGGTAGGCGCCTCCGCTTCTGGAGTAGCTGTCCCCGTGCCGGCCGCCGCCGCCGCCCCTGCCGGTGCTGCTGCTGAGGTAGCCGCTCTGCTGCAATCGGTGATGGTGTTGCTGCTGCTGCTGCTGCTGCTGCTGAGCTTGGTATATCGCCTGCTGTTTGGCGTGCTGCTGCTGCTGCTGCCGCTGCGATGTATACTGCTGCTGATGGTGATGGGATTGCGGCTGCTTGAGCAGCATCTCTTGCTCAGCCTGCTGCTGCTGCTGCTGCTGTAACAGGAGCTGCTGCTGCTGTTGCTGCTGCTGTTGCCGAATCACGAACCGCTGCTGCTGTTGCTGCTCCAGCAGTTTGCGCTGGTGGTGCTCCTGGTGCTGGCTCATCTGCTCAATGTGACGCTGTGGCCTGCTCTGCTGCTCCTGCACCACGAATACGCCAACAGACAGGCACGAAATAACGAGAAAATAAAAACGAGATCTACCCGAACGAAGGAGGAGGGGTCAAGTTATGCAAGACTACGCATCCATCTATCCGCAGGCATACCGGATACATCCTCAATCCCTTTGCCTTTGGGAGTGCTGGTGCGTGGCAAAAATAATATTCTCGTGACATGCACCAACCAGCCAAGAGCACTGTCAAGTGCTTTCAACCACACGACATGTTTCTCTCCAAGTATCCTCCTCCCCCTCCCATACCGTGCCTCACTTCGTTCCCAAGGGATCCTTGCTTTCCCGGCTAATCTCGCGCAACATTTGGCCGCAAATGACTGTGCCGGATGCGCCTCTTGTAGATATTGTACTGCTTTATACACAAGACCCACCATCAAGATGCTACCCCCCACACAATATTCTTGCGGCTCCACATGAGCCCAACCTGTACAATTTGTCGAATGTAGATCAAGTAAATAGAGCCGCACCGGACCGCAACCCCTATGCTGTTCCTTCACCACCATACTGAATCCCCAACAACGTAACCTATCCTACTCCCTCCGTTTCGGAATACTTCGTAGTATAAAAAAGCATGCTCCAGGCTATTTGTCTCTAACATCTATGGTTTTGCGGACCCTTCGGGTCCCTTACATTTGAGTACACCTTGTTCAGGGTAAGTTAGCCTGTGACCGCGGGAATCGACGGCGTCAAGTGGTAGATCAGTACGGACAAATGAATGTACTGGGCAGAGATATATCGGAACAGTTTTGAACGCGAAGACAGGAGCAACAACAACAATGCCGCACCAACCTGCTGTTCCAGCTCCCTCTGTCTCATCTGCCCCTGGTAGTGCCCGTGCTGCTCGTACCGCTGCGTGCCTACGCCCGACATGCCGGCGTGCTGGTGACACAGGACGTAGGGCAGAGAGAAGCACAGCGGCCACGACAAGTGACCACCTTGAGAAATACCATGATAGTTGTAAGCCACCCCGCTATAAAACGCCTTATCCGCCGCAACTTCACATCTCCACACTTTCACAGAGAGCAGGTAGGCGGTGTGGTCAAAACGCGAAAAGATGCCAAGACTCCCCCGCCAGCGGAAGCACACGCTCCTGTCGACGCTAACCGTACATGACAGGAGCAAGCACAAGCATGCATAATTTCGCAAGGAAAGACGCCTGCATCTTTCGCACGGAACAGGTTTGCATGTTTACAACATCAATCCGCGTGCATACCACCAGCAGCTCGTGACCAATACGTGAAGAACATACAGAAAAAAACACTCAACTGCTGTGAACCGGGCTACATCGTACACATTAAGATGCCAACGATAGAACAACACGGGAAGAGTGCACAGAAAAAAAAAACTCAACTGCAGTCAACCGGGCTTGACATCGTACACAATAAGATGCCAAAGACAGAACAATTCAAAACAACACACAGCATAGTGCTGCAAAATCATGGGGATCGTCCTGTTCAGAATTAAGGGGAAAAAAAACAAAACACGAGACCTTGACCTTCGCACACCCATCTGCAGCTTCCTGTCTGCGAGGACCCCACACCAAAATCTGCACAAAAACTCTAGAACAAAAGTGTACAGAGCGAGATCTGGTCGCTCGACGGGAAACAATAAGAACATCTTCCCGCAAGAGTCATATAGCGCTCTCTCTTTAAGGGGTGACGCATGCTACAAATTTCGTCTTCCACCTGCAACTTATTTTGTCTTAACGAAGTACTTCGTATCACACATCACACCTGATCTCGCCCCATTGGCGGCACGACATCCTCTTGTTGCTGCTGTTGTTGCTGTTGCTGTTGCTGTTGCTGGTGCTGCCCAGCGCTACTACGAGACGGGAAGTGCACCTGCTAGGACAACGGCCACGTGCGTCCGAGCGAGCTATATGGGTTTGAGCGTGTCACACAGGAGTGAGTGTGTTCGGAATTGTGCTTAGGAGGGGTTGGGGTTGTGGCGGAAACCACACGACACCCCCTTCATGACTGCAGCGACACCGGCATCAACCAACCAACACGAAAATGACATGAGCAAACAATATCAAGGTTAACTGTACAGTTACGTCCGACTTTTGCCAAATGTGCAGCCCTGAATGAGGGCTTCCATATGGTGCATGGCTCGTTCATCAAAGTCCGGAAAAGGGTGCAGAACTGCACAACCACATCAATATCATCAACAACAAGGGCAACCACAAGACGACATGCTGTTGGTACCACCATCACCACTGCATCGCTACCACAGCGGCCGCAGCAGCAGCAGCAGCAGCCTTATCCTAACCCTGACCTTTACCTGTTCGAAACCGTAGAGGAAGTTTTTGTAGTGCACCGAAATTGTGAACAAGGTCTGCTGACCAGAATCCAGCCCAAGCTCCGACGTAACCTGTGATATAATCAAAGGGGGTGACGTGGATCACAATCACGGCAAACACGAAACATAATCGAGCACGGTCGCCCCGGTGGTCTAGTGGGTAGCCTCGCAGCCTGCTAAGGGCCAGGTCATGGGTTCGAGTCCCGGCAGAGAGAGTTTTTTTCTCAATAACTAAATCCTGGTCTAGGATGAAAGCGACGCGCTGCAAAGCTTGTTTGTTAGTAAACCATAATCGACTTCGCAAGTCGCGAGGGCAGGGATTGCTGTACCCTTCTCGCGACAAAAATACCTCAGGCATGAACCGCAGGAGGTGGTCCAACCCCCCCCTCCTATGTGACCCCGGTTGGGTCGTCTAGCTAGTAGAAGTGGAGGATAGGGGCCAGAGGGGCAGACGACAGAGTCCAATGATGGGAGAAAAACAACAACAACAAACAAATACCCGGCGCATGGGAAGACACGCACCCAAACGGGCAGGGAGGGCGGGAGGGTACTCTTTATGTTTTGCATGACTTAGCGGTTGTACCATTGACCGTACATCAGCCGTTTCCAGACGGACTGCCATTCGTGTTCCTACTCTCTACTCCTGTATGTCATGTATGGAGTACACCGAAGTTTTGGGTGCTCTTGCCAGCATTACTGCTGTATAGCGGGAAAATAACGTTAATTTTACTCCCGTCCTCCTTGGCGTTAATAGTGTCTGAGCAGAGAGAGACACACACGACTAGGATAGCGGGGCAGATGCAACATCAAACATAGGGCCGGTGTGACAGCTTGATACTTCCGCAGCGGAAACATCGTGAGATCCTAAACAACTGGCTTCCGGTGCGCCGGACAGGTCGCAACCACCACCATACAATTTTTCTCTAATTTCGCAACGTGGTTCCGTAAAAGTGTTTGCTGGTTGGACTGACCTCGTCCCATAGGCCCTTGTCCTGCACCCGGCGTACACCCCCGCGCTTGGTGATAGTCTCCAGTAGCGCCACCAGGTCAAGCAGCTTGCCGTTCACCATAGGCACATCCCTGAGAACCGTTCCCTGCAAAGGTCCGCCCAAGAACAAAAACAAGAAAATGCGATCAGTCGAAGGGGGCCGAATCCGGCGATTATTTTCATCTGCGGTCACTCACGTGCCTGGCTAGGAAGTGAGGCTTTGGCCGCCTACAACTGGTGTGAGTTCAGCAGGAAGGCAAAATAAATGCTGAAAGTCACAGAAGTCAAGGTGTTTTGTTGTTGATGATGGCGGGGGAAAACCTGATCGAGGGCAGGCTTGATGCCTCACACACAAGAAGCATCATAGGCAGAGCCGCGAAGGTCCTTGGTATATTCACGGCAAACAGAAATAACTGCTGCGGCGACACTGCTGTTTCATCCGTGACCACTGCTGTGTGTCTGTCTGTAGTCAATCTACAGCAGCAGTGCACCGTCACCCCTTTGCTGCTCTCTCTGGTTCTCTCGTCAAACTGCTGCTCTGTTGGCGTGCTCAGGTCAAATCGGTGTTTCATTCCGTAGAGGGCGCGCTCCCCCAAACAGCTCCCGGTTGAAGCCCGACAGCGTACAACTGGTAGGATGATACTCGTATGATGTGCCCTTGGAGTCTTTGCTTGGCTACCGTAGTTTGCGCAAAGGGTGGGTCCAGCGCCCCTGGCTGGTCGCACAGAAGGCCCTTCTGAAAGGATTCCTAGAGGAAGAAGACAGGCCTTCATAATCGCTTCCCACAAACCAAAAACAACAGTCGTGGATGCCGAAGTCGTTAGACCGTCGACCTCGCATCCCCACAAATCCAATAAATTAACCCACCATTTATGCATACGATGATATTGTGGCATTTCACCGAAGAATCAAGTTGGTGTCATATGCAATTGATTAATAGACTTGCAAGCAACGATAGATCCGTCGAATATGCGATCTATCTTGTAAATTTGAACCCTTCAGGCGGGACTGTCAGTTTTTCCAGGTCCGAAGGCTCAAACTTCAGTGCCGGCAAAGTGGTGAACTGTTGAGAACAACCAAGTTTAAACGACAGCGGCAAAATAATACGCATTTCTGTGGCGACGACATCAGAGAAAGCCCGCCCTGGGTTCCCAGATGCTACATCAATCAGCTCCTTTGAGATGTGCTTTGGGGTCTAAAAATGTCACGACAGGACCACAGGACATTTTGTCGGGGGTGCAGCAGGTGTGGCATGCTAGCAGCCAAGCTTGTAGCTGCGGCTATTTGCGCGAACCTGTTCAACCAAAGGCTTTACTCTGTCCTTTACCGGCAGCTGGGCATAAGGTAAAAGCTTTGTACCCGTATGCATATACTGCAATCCATGTTAGCTGCACAGGCAAAGTGGCAAATCGTCTGGGACAGCAGGATGCACACTTGGTGTTGCACCTGTCCATTGCTCCGCAGAAACGCGAATATCTCTCGTGCTCGGACCAGCTCTCTGGCCTTGATCGGCCCCGAGTACAAGCTCTCCAGCGCCGCCACTGCCCTTTCGTCCATCCTATCCAGTCCAGTCCTCTACTCTGCCTGTGGGCAGCCGTGGCCGGAGCACACAACACACATGCTGCCATCGCGAAACACCCTTCCCATCTCCATCTCCATCTGCGGTGCCGCCCCGCCGCGTTCAAGCCGGCCCAGTGGTGCTCACACACCGTACCAACACACCTGCCGTTCAACCAAGCCCATGCCTGAACCGCAATTGAGGAGACGCCCTGTGGGCTCCGGAAGTAGAGGGTCTGCACCTCCGCGTCCCAAGGCGGCAAACCCGAATCAAGCTGTCGCTCTGGCTGTCCTGTCAGAGCTGGGGGCCATGATGGAGCTGTTTTTCAAAGGACTCAGGTCAGTCCTCGCAACACAGTCTTCTCTTGGGTTGGAACTACTGACTCCGTACACACGCAAACGGGTAGGTGTTGGTTTCCAGCAGCATTAGGCGTTGTGGATGCATTGGGGGGTTAGAGAGGTCCATGTCTGGTACAGGCGGTGTAGATGGAATGACTGTTATTTTGTAACGAGCCTAACGACTGCTGTGGCCGAAGAGAGAGATGCGGCGTGAACGTGTCGGATATTATTCGCAGTCCGTGCTCCGCACTCCGCACTTCTTGGATCAAAGAGACGAAGGCTTACGCTCAAGGCTCCGTCAAAGCGCTCGCTGAATTCACAGGCATCAAAATGAATGCCTAGTAGTAAATTTGAAAGCTAGAGAGCCCATGTGAGAGCACGCATGCAACGATAGTACTGTAGATGACCTGACACCGGGGACCGCCCGCCCTTGGATTTTCGACGTGGCCAATCACGCGACACGCCGTGGCTCAGCTCTCACAACGAAGAAGGCGTGCCTCTAGACGAATTCACTCTAGACTAATGCACTTGCTGCCCGCCTGTCGCACCATACGCTCACAGGCTTGAGGAGATGAAAGGTTGGGGCGAGTTTTTCGCGCGGTTCAAGGCGCCGCGAGCTTGGAACACCAAGGTCCTCGATGAGGTACTGCTGTACGTGGCAGGTTGGGTATTGTAGCCGGAAAAGACGCCAGTCTTCAGTGCGGTGGAAAACACAACAGCAGTGCGGTGGTAAAACGCAGAATGCTTCCACAAATATAGGCCACGATCTGGGACCCTGTGACCGAGCGTCATGGGGGAGTCTACGCTACTCTCCGGATAAAAAACAGATACCGTAGCAATAGCAGAAGAAAACTGCGCGTGTTTGACATGGCTGCTTGCTTCTACTTTGGATGCGCTTGCGTTTTGGCTTGCTTTCATCATGTTCCCTGCATTTACGAACACCACCCTTATTACCAGTATTCCCACTACTTTTTGGCAGGTCCTCTCCAGTCCTGCTGCGTTAGTTGTGAGGGAAGCCGTCTGGCTCGAACCCTTTGCTCTCTTCTAGGCCATGTTTTCCTCGTCCATCGTCGCCTTCATTCTCCTTTCTTTCCTTTCCCCTTCTTTCATCATCGTCACTCTCAAACTATTTACCCTCAATACCATCGTTATGGCTCTTCACCAAAACTACAACTGATATCCTACCCTATTGACCGTGGTGGAAATTGGTCGATCAGTAGTCCATGAGGTTTGAAAACATCACGAGATCGTACCGACAGAAAACGAGCCAGCTCGAAGGTAAACCGTCTCCGGAGTCTGTTAGTATGGTCAGACTTTCAGTCGAACCAAGGCTGTTTATCGTCGAAATTCCCCCTGCAATATGCTTCGTAGGCCAGTGGTCGGCGATAGCTACGATTAATCGATTGGTGCCTTGGCTAAGACCACCATACGTTGAAAAAGAAGCAGCGAGGAGGGTAGATCTAGATGGGTCGAAAATTACCGCGTAAGGTTGGCCTTACTTACAGCTGGATCTTCGAGGGCGGATGCAGGTGTCTGGATCGACTCATCGATGCTTTTACTCGCAGATGGGTTGACGATTGTGGCATCTACAAGAATGGGCTTGGTGCAGAGCTTGGTCCGTGCTTGTGGATGTCGCAATCGTCAACCCATCTGCGAGTAAAAGCATCGATGAGTCGATCCAGACACCTGCATCCGCCCTCGAAGATCGAGCTGTAATTAAGACAGACATGTTTCGACCCGTCTAGATCTACCGTCGCTTGGTCCGTGCTTGTGGATGTCACAATCGACAACCCATCTGCGAGTCGAAGCATCGATGAGTCGATCCAGACACCTGCATCCGCCCTCGAAGATCGAGCTGTAATTAAGACAGACATGTTTCGACCCGTCTAGATCTACCGTCGCTTGGTCCGTGCTTGTGGATGTCACAATCGACAACCCATCTGCGAGTCGAAGCATCGATGAGTCGATCCAGACACCTGCATCCGCCCTCGAAGATCGAGCTGTAATAAAGACAGGCAACTTTCGACCCGTCTAGATCTACCGTCCTTACTGCTGCTTTTTCAGCGTATGGTGGTCTTGGCCAAGGCACCAATCGATAAATCGTGGCTATCGCCGACCACTTGGCCTACGAAGCATTTTTCAGGGGGAATTTTGACGGTGAAACAGCCTTGGTTCGACTGAAGGGCTGGCCATTCTAACAAACTCCGGAGACGGTTTACCTTCGAGCTGGCTCGTTTTCTGTCAGTACGAACGTGATGGATCCAAGCGTAATGGACTACTGATCGACAAATTTCCACCACGGTCATTAGGATGAGATTTCAGTGGTAGTTCTGGTGAAAAGCGACAACGATGGTATTGTAAATATGTTGAGAGTGGCGATGATGAAAGACGGGGAAAGGAAAGAAAAGAGAATGAAGGCGATGATGGACGAGGAAAACATGGGGTAGAAGGAGAACCTATTCTGGCGCCGGTTTTGTGACCGCTAAAATTACTCCCTCCCTCAAGCTTAGGGGATTGGAACAAACCATTTCACCGGTATTGCTGTGCTTCGCGGATCCTTGCGGTCCTCAAGACTTTCCAGGTGTTGTTTTTTGTGGTGGCACAACAGCAGGGCCGCTGCGAGATCTCAAGCTACTGTTTATGCACTTGAAATTACATACGAAACCGCTCTCGTGTGCATACTACACCACAGCAGCCTCGACGGACTGCTGCTGCTACCTATAATCGTGAAAAGCTGATATGTTACCTTACAAGCCGTGCGTCGACTCTGTTTGATTCCTTCGTCATGGAAGTGGCTGTCGGCCACCCGTTCCCCTGCCCGAAGATTTGCACTCCACACAATGCCCCCCCCCGCCCGCCCGCCCCCCGTCCAAACCCCGTCAACAATCCTCCCTTTCCAGCGGTTGACGACGAACTTACTCCACTACCGAGGGAACTACAGCGTGGTTGCTGCCGGCTTGCTGGTCGTCGGCATGTGAGTCGAGAAGGGCCTGGCGATGTCCGTGCTTGGACCTTGTCCCCCATAGAGCAATGTTTTGCTTGGAGTGTTGCAAGTTTCCCCCCAAGAAAGCGGCACCTGGGGGGCGTACTCTTGTGTTTTGCGTGCCTTAGCGGTTAGACCATTGACCACGCGTCCTCGAGAGGACGGAGCATTGTTCCCACAGGACCGATCACCGAGCGCCAAACGTGGGAGGGGCGGGGGTAGCCACGTGGCCTCGACATTTCGTATCTACTGGATGGGATCCATCTCTAGCCGAGTAACGGTGAAGGTATGGGTGTCCACGGCGGCCGCCGCTGCCGTAATTCGAGTATCCCGGACATCCTTTTTCCCCGGACCCCTTCGTGCTGCGTTAATAGTCTTCCCGTACATCTACCTTCGCTTCGTGTGCTGCTGCTTCTGAACATGGCAGTATTTCGAACCCGTACGTGCTGCTGGCATTGCTCTGCTGCGCGCTGCTGCTCACGTTCCTGTTCCCCATTGGGGAACCACGGCGAGCGGTAAGGGTGGGCGACCGGACGCTGGAAAGGCAAGAGCGGCTGGCGGCGGCGGTCATCGGTGCGTACAGTACAGTACTCCCTACCCCCCTTCAAATCTAAGCATTTGGCGCAACACCAAGCTTGGGGGCATACCCGCAGCCAGATGGAGACACTTTAGTAATGCCCTTTTGGGGTTGTAGAGAATCAGAGCAGCACAGCCATCCCAAGGGCAAAAGAGAAATTGTTTTTTGTGTTCGTGTTGTATGGGCACAGCTTCCCCGATGCCTTCACGTGTTGCCGATAACCTTGGCCCCTCACAGTAGTGCACCATGCTCATCCCCGAATCGCGCGCACTTTCCCGCTTTTGGTTCCCCTGTGGGCTACAGGCGCATCTTGCATCCTGGGGTTGACAGGGGCCTGGTACATTCTCCTGTTTTACGGCGGGGCAGGCGTGCTTCTCTGCCTGTTGCACGGCGTGTTTCGGCCCCGATCAATAGGCAGCAAGACTAGCCGCGCGGCCGCGGAAGCCCAGGCCGGCTTCACCATCGAGGTGCGTATGGTGCTCGCGACGCTAGGTTTCTTGTTGTACACGTAGCCGGGAGGGTGTGCTGTAGAGGGTCTAAGTTAAGGGTCGCAGCGTTTGTTGAGATGACCCGTAGGCAGAATCACGTACAGCAGTCGCACGGGCGACCCCTTCCCGGCAGCATTTTGCCTCCTTTGGCGTTGGGTCGAAGAGTGGAGATAAACGAGAAACCTCCAAGGGTGATGGGCAACTTTTGCTGGTCAATTCAACCGCCCTCTTCTTTCGACATGCGACCAGGTTACAACGGCCTGTCGAAAGTAGTGCTTTTGCCCGGAATCACGAGTTTTTTTGTTTTTTTTGCTCCCATTATTGGACTCTATCGTCTGCCCCTCTTGCCCCTATCCTCCACTTCTACTTGCTAGACGACCCAACCGGGGTCACATAGGAGGGGCGGGGCTGGACCCCCTCCTGCGGTTCCTGCCTGAGATATTTTTATCGCGAGAAGGGTACAGCAATCCCTTCCCTCGCGTCTTATGAAGTCGATCAAGTTTACTAACAACGAGCTTCGCAGCGCGTGGCTTCCAACTTAGACAGGGATTTATTTAGACTAGTGAGAAAATACTCAATCTGCTGGGACTCGAACCGATGACCTGGCCCATATTGAGCTGCGAGGGTACCCACTAGACCACCAGGGCGACCAGTATGTGTTGTTTTGAATAATCAGGCACCGCGCTTTTCTTTTCTTTGGCCCTTGTGTTTTTGGTTTCCCTACGACAGGATGTCTGTGCATCATCAAGTTGATGCTAACTTCCCTGTCTTTCGCGGCCCTTTCTCCCATGTCTCGCCTGTGATCTGCCCCTGTCTACCTGTCTACCTGCCCCCCCCGACATATTGGTTACGGCATGGAAACTACCGACATTGCGGATGCTCCCACAAAGCAGAACGCGCAGAACTTTGTGGAAAACGTCTTCGGCATAACCGGTTCGCGATCCCAATAGCGCACCGAGCACATCGATGTGGTACGTTGTTACCTCTTGGATGGCGTCTTTTTCTGCAAAGCTTCGTCGTTTCACAAGAGGCGAGGAGAAGGGGAGGACGTGAGCTCAGCTCTTCCTTTCCCGATAGGGGGACTTGCAATACAGAGCATGTGCTCGGACGGCCAATCAGGAGCAGGCGGATCGGAAGATGGCTGGTAGGGCATCTTCGTGAGAATGGTGCTCTCATTCACAATTGAGTTTTTTGCGGGATGAGGTTGAGAATGCTCATTCACCGTCGACTATCGCGAGATAAGGTTGATACCGTGGTGAATCCCGGCCGGGGGATGCCATGAAGCGAGATGCGTTCTGGTAGGGAAAGTTGGCTTGCCGGTTGGGACGGGTACGATTTGGCGGAATCCGAGGATGACGAGAAGAAAGTTTGGTTTTGCGTCACAACAAGCTTCTACGCTAGAACACTAGATATGTCTTCCCTGCCGGATATGGCAATCGATGCCCATACTCGTGAGACATTGTGACACGCAGGGGACGGTGTGCGTCGAAAAGGTTTTGCTGGCCCGGTGCTGGTGCTGGTTCCGCCATGCTGCACTCTGCTTTTTTGAACGTACTTTGGAGTCGCGGAGACGGCGTAACTCCCCCCCTTCGATCTGGAACGAAAATTTGAGGTCGAAAGTAGCTATGTACATAGTGTGATATGAACGAAGCTCGTTTTTAAGCACTTGGTTGCTGGTTGATCCCATGAAGAGCTGCTCGCAGGCAACATGTTGTGTACTTACATCAGCATGTTTGCACATGTTGGCCTAGAGAACGAAGGGCTGCTGCAGACCGCGAGGTGGGGTGCCATGAGGGCCACGAAGCAACGGAGAAATCCGGCGCAGGAGTTCGATTCTTCCTCGGTCCCAACGTCTCAACCATGGGCTGATGTCTCTTCCCTGTGTTTGGCTCTTACACGTTTTTCTGATCCTCTCCTTTTCCGAGTTCGCTCGTATCCCGGTTGTTGGCATTTTTTTGTGATCTGCTACACGTGCATCGCGATTTGCAGATTTTCTGGGTCCTTTTTTGTTCCACATTCTTCGATTTCTAGAATCGCGTACCCTTTTTGGGTAGTCGGCCAGTGATCATGAAAGGGGTCCGCGTCGGTTGGACCAGTACTAGGGAGATTGACGGTAGTGAGTAGTGAGCAGAGGGAGATCGTAGCGGTTTTGAATGTGAAAAAATCGAAACAACAACGAACAACAATTTTCTCGCCACGGGCAGCCATGGGTAAGCATTGCCGGTCTGGCTGTACACCCCTTGTTGCCAAGGTACCTTTGCCCCGTGTGCGAGCACCGATACCTACAAGGTGTGTCAACAACGCGCCAGTCCTGGCCCTGATGTTGAATCGACTCTTCTTGTCAACACCTGCCGCCCACCGACGTCATTTCTCTGTGTCATCGAGCACGAGCAGAAATGTCCACTGCTCTCCAGTTACACAGAGATACTGCTGTACCTCTAGTTCAGACTCAGGGGCATCGATCGATCGCTCGTGTTCCCTCCCACCAGATAGATAAAGCTGTAAGTCTAGTTGCTAGTTGCTCTCGTACCATTCGTACGTACCACCTCTGGTACACACGAGGCAACGCTCCCTCGCATTGACGGTTTCAACATGGCGCCTGTCCTGTTGTAAAACCTCCAAAAACACATACCCACCCTCAGACAACCAACCGTGGCCCCCCCGCTCAGCGGCGGCAGCGGACACGAACAAACGAAACGCTGGCTGCTGGCTGCTGCTGTGACCCTGCGAGAAGGAAATCATGAGTGAGTGCCTCGAGATGCTTGGTGGTTGTGTTTACTGTAATTCATGCTGCCTGTGACCTTGTGCATTGAGAGGGACGCAAGCAGTACCGGATGCAGTTACGGGATGGTAGTCTGTTGCCTCAAGGCCATTCCTGCTCCCTGGCACCGCATCCGAGCAGCAGCGTCTCAGACATTGGGGCTTGAGCCCTGGCATGGACGCCTTGCCGATAGAAACCACTTGTAGGGTTATTACACAAGCCTCGCTCGCGTGGTGGGCTATCTTCTAGGTACCCATATGTTGGCGGTGTGATGTAATTCATAGGTCGTGTCCTTTCCGCGCCAGCAAGCCTTACAGCCAGCCACCGCGTTGAGATCGGAGCACCACCCCAGCAGCACAGCAGTCTAGACAACCAGGTGCTAGGTGAAGCTTGCCAACACGATACACAGATGGCTCTCACAGTGACGGGATGGACACGAATTAATGCAGCTCAACACAGAGCTGATCAGGAATGAACACCATGTTTACATCATACACCCACGACCCCCACATCGAAAACGCATTTTTTTTTTTTTTTCTGAATATGACCCAACGAAGCCATCTCTCTACAAGTATCCAAGAGTCTGAAGATAGATTAGCAATGAATCCATAGCGTCAGCGAAAGTTCTGTTTTTCCGCGATTTACCGAGCAGCACACAGTGATATCTCCCCCGTGGGTAACAGGGCCAACAAGATAGTTTGGTAGCTGCCTTGTTGTTGTTGTTGTTGTTGTTGTTGTTTTTCTCCCACCATTGGACTCTGTCGTCTGCCCCTCTGGCCCCTATCCTCCACTTCTACCGGCTAGACGACCCAACCGGGGTCACATAGGAGGGGGGGGGTTGGACCCCCTCCTGCGGTTCCTGCCTGAGATATTTTTATCGCGAGAAGGGTACAGCAATCCCTTCCCTCGCGACTTATGAAGTCGTCAATCAAGTTTACCAACAACGAGCTTTGCAGCACGTCGCTTCCAACGGAGACCATAATTCAATTCGCGACAAGAAACTCACCCTGTCGGGACGCGAACCCATGACCTGGCCCTTAGCAGGCTGCGAGGCTACCCACTAGACCACCGGGGCGACCGGCTTGTGTATCCATCTGTATGTTACCCTGGGGGGTGTAGAAGGAAGGTGTCGGGTAGTTGGTTCGGCTTGTTTCTGTAATTTTGGCGGATGGCAAGAGGAGGCAACTGCTGTAACTATTTTTCAATTGCTTTTATTAACCCTCCCAGATACATATGGCACCTAAGCTTTTTCCAACGCACGGGTTTTGTTCCCCCCTCGTCTTGAGTCACAGGCGACGTCAAGAAGAAGAAGAGCAAGAAGTCCAAGGGCGGTGATGACCAAAATGGCGCCGGCGCTCCCTCTGCGGCCGCAGCAGCCCCTCAGGCGGCAACGGCCGCAGCAGCCCCTCAGGCGGCAACGGAGTACATGATCCGGCCGGAGACGACAAAACCGGCCCTCAATACGGCCCAGTGGCCGCTGCTGCTGCGCAACTACGACGACCTCGATTGCAGGGCGGCGCACTACACACCCCTCCCTAGCGGTTGCTCCCCGTTGAAGCGCGAGCTCAAGGAGTACATCCGTTATGGCGTCATCAACCTCGATAAACCCGCCAACCCTTCGTCTCACGAGGTAAGCACTCTATTTTCTTGTATTTTTTATTTTGGGTGCAACACGACAAATCCATATCTGATGATTAGAGTCCTAGGAGAAATTTGCAACAAATCCTAAAGCGTTAGCAGAAGCACTGCCAATGTTTTTTACGTTTCCTCGAGCCAACTGTCACCTTTCCACCCCCCAAACCAACAAAATCCGACTGCTCCTGCTGCTGCCACAACAGGTGGTGGCGTGGATCAAGCGAATCCTCCGGGTGGACAAGACGGGCCACAGCGGAACGCTCGACCCCAAGGTTACCGGGTGCTTGATCGTGTGCATAGACCGAGCGACGAGGCTGGTGAAGGCGCAGCAGAGCGCGGGGAAGGAGTACGTGGGCCTTGTGAGGTTTCACAGGTGCGGCGGGATCTGTCTGGTTTCTCCGCAGAATGATATTGGTACAGTACGAGTGATTCTTCCGGAGCGGCCTCATGAGGGCCATGCAAGATGGCAAGCAGGCAACAGGCCAACCAACCCACAGCTGGCTGCAGCTGCCCGTTGTGACGTTTCCCGAGCTCAACACCTCACATAGCTGACGTGGTTTTAGCTCCAAGAGCCCAGCGAGCCTAAACGAACCAAGAGTAATATTTACAAGTCATTGTAGTCCTGTATAGTCCTGTGTACATCTTTTGACGCCGGTGTCGGGGTGAGCAGGATTTTGGCGCAGCAGAGGCAGGACTAAAGCTGCCGGAGCGTGGTGGGTGTGAGAGAAACAAAGCAGTGATTTTCCTCATTCACGTGCCTCCGACTGAGCTAGGCGATGAGAGAGCACCGCGACGAGTTGGTGTTGCAGTCAACCTATCGACTATGTAGTGAACCTTTTATCCGAACAACGAGTTTCATTGCTGATTTGCTGTGGACCAAGCCGTTCGACAGAAACTCAACGGTCCAAGCAAGCCAGCCCATCGAGTAATCCAAGAGGCAAGTCGAGCCAGCCCACGGTATGACCGAATCGCCATCCGAATCACTCGAGCAATCGTGGCAGTTACTCATGGACACCCACTCTCTTTGATTATCTATCTCTATTCTCCCTCTGACACACACATTCCCTCTTTCTCGTTTTCTCTCTAATCTTCCTCTCTCACACACACTCATTCACCGTCTCTCTTTGTCGCTCTGTCTCTCTCTATATTCACGGCAACAACTGCAGTGCGGTGGACGGGAGCGCCGTACAGGCGAGGATGAAGGTGGAGAAAGCGGTGGGATTGCTGACGGGCGCCCTCTTCCAACGGCCACCGTTGATCTCCGCCGTTAAGAGGCAGCTCCGAATCCGAACCATCTACGACAGCAAGCTAATCGAGTACGACAACGACCGTCATCTAGGTGACAAAAGGACAACTCGCTTTTTGGGGGGGAGCCCGCAGTGGATTTGGGTATTTTGCTGACTATCTCTTCTGTCTTTTTTACACGTGGGGGTAAGCGTGGGAGAGCAACAGCACGCGGAACGGGGCATTAGGTACTGAAACACACCCGACACCATGACGGGTGAAGCGTGTTCGTTGACGTGTTCTGCCCAGCTAGCAAGCTCGCTTTCTTCCTGCATCGTCTTCCATGAATCTTAACATTTTTTTTCGTGGCTTGCCCTTTTTGGGGGGGGCTGTTGCGTCATTTTCCAGGAATCTTCTGGGTGAGCTGCCAGGCGGGGACCTACGTGCGCACGCTGTGCGTCCACCTGGGCCTTATCGTCGGCACGGGAGGGCACATGCAGGAGCTCCGGCGGGTGCGGTCGGGGGTGTTGTCGGAGGAGGGTAACCTGGTGACGATGCACGACGTGCTGGACGCGCAGCACGTGTACGACACCAAGAAGGACGAGTCGTACCTCAGGAGGATCATCATGCCGCTCGAGGT